GACACACACACACACACACACACACACACACACACACACACACACACACGCCACAACCCAAGGCAGGTTCCAGCTCCAGTGCTGGACACACACACACACACACACACACACACACACACACACACGCCACAACCCAAGGCAGCAGTGGCTGGACTTCGGCCGCCCCCAGCCTGGCTGGATCCTTTAGCGGGACCCTCATCCCGAGCGCCCAACCACAGGGCCCCAGGACGGGCGGGTGTGGGCCCCACCCTGAGCCTGGCAGGTCAGACCCTCCTGCCCATGGCCCAGGCTCCGTGGGGACCCCAGGGGGCTGTGGGCTCGGCTCACCCTGGAGTTTGGTGCCCTGGCTGGGCGGGTCCCCAAGGCCCAGCTGAGGAGCCAGAGGTGGAATTGAAACCAGCACGTGCAGCAAGCAGCCTGGGAACAGCGGGCGGAAACCACAGAGCCAAGTCTCCTCCACATCGGGTCAGGGCTCGGTCCCTCGGGTATGAGGTGGGGGCCAGGGACAGCCCGGGCAGGGCAGGTGGCTGCGATCCCTGGGGCTGCGGGTGGGAGCTGGCAGGTAAAAGGCTGTGGCATAGGCACAGAGGACCCCTGCGAGGGCCCAGAGAGGCTGCCCAGGGCTGGTGGCACAATGTCAGCAACCCTTTAGGGAGCCAGGCATGGTAATATATGTCTGTACTCCCAGCACTTGGGAGGCTGAGGCAGGAGGGTCACTGAAAGTCAAGGCCAGCCTGGACCACATGCCAAGATTTTGTCTCAAAAAAAGAAAAAAAACAAACCCTTTGGGGACCCCAGCTCCTTCTACTGTGTTGCTGTACCATTGTGTGTGTGTTGGGGAGGGGGTCTGCTCATGGTCCAGAATGGCTGCTTGTGCTCCAGCCATTGTGCCCCTATTCCAGCCATTGGAAGAGCAAGGGGAAAAGGAGATTCTCTCTAAAGAAACACCCTAGGACTCTTCCCCTCACACCTTCCTGTCTGGATCATGTTGCCTGGCCTGACAAGCAGCAAGGGGCGCCGTGAGATCATCGAACAGCCGCAGGCCCTCACCAAGGACTCGGAGGAGCGGTGTGTGGGGGGATGCTCCTAGAAAGTGGCCAGGTCCCTCCGACCGCTGGGCCAGAGCTAGACGTGCACTTGCTGCCTTCCACCCTTGCTGGGAAGCACACGTTCCACGATGATCCATCCCTCCACCCCTCCCGCAGACACCCCAGCCGGGAGGGAGGGGAGGAACCCAGCCACTCAGACGTGGGGCCTGGGGCGCTGGAGGCTGTGGGATCTGGAGGCTCCCTGTGCGTGAGGTTTCCAGGTGGGGCGCGGAGGTCCAGGCTGAGGGTTGGGGGTCGTGGAGAAGGAGGCTGGCCTGGGACAAAAGAGGTCTGTTTCAGAAGACCCCGTTCAGGCCTGTGTGGGAGTGGGGGTTGGTACCCGGGGCCTTGGCCCTGAGCTTCGGGGCCTCTGCCTTTCTCTTTGTTGGGACAGAGTATTCCTAAATTGTGTAGGCTGGGTTGTGATCCTCCCTCCTCAGCCTCCCACAGTGTTAAGAGACATTTTGAAAATGAAATCAGAACCACTGGGGATGGTGGTACCTGCGTGTGGTCCCCTGTGGGGAGGCCAAAGCAGGAGGATCTCAAGTTGCATTCCCAGCCTGGGCAATTTAGCAGCTTAGCAAGACTCTGAAAAAATGAAAAATAGGTGTGGGGGTGTAGCTCAGTGCAGAGGGCCCAGGTTCAGTCCCCAGGACGGAAAATAAAAGTAAATTTTTAAAAGGATTTTGGCGGGTGGGGGGCGTGGTGGCAAGTGCTGTACGGTGCTGCAGGTGTTGGTTACGGGTGGGGAGGAACCGAGGCAGCGGAGGGGGCCCGGGGGCTTCCCAGGGCGCGCAGGCCGAGCCCGAACCTGGCCGAGCCCCGCCCAGGACGCAGCTGCGCCTGCCGCTAACCCAGGCGCCCGGGCGCCCCGCAGAGCTGGAGCCGGAGCTCGTGGGGCCCAGCAGCATGGGCGCGCAGGCCTCCAGCCCCCTGGACAGGCGGCAGCGTGAGCAGCTGCGGGGTGAGCGGGGCGGGAGGGGGTCCTCTGGGGTTGCACTCACGATCTTCCTGCCTCAGCCTGCTGGAGTGTGGGATCACGAACCAGAGGCAGCCTATGTGGCGGGTCGGAGGCGGGAGTGATCACGCCTGGGCGCTGGGGGAGGCTGGGTCGATCTGGTGCGCTGGCGCCGGCGCCCACCGTCCCCGTCCTGGTCCCCAGGCCGGGTGGCCGCGATGCTGGACGGCTTCCTGCCGTGCTACCGCGCGCAGCTGGCGGCGTCCGTGCTGCGGCAGATCTCGCTGGAACTGCGCCCCCGGGAGCCCTGGGGACCCCAGCTGAGCCGCAGCAAGGTGGGTGCTACAAAGGGGGTCGCAGCCTGGGACCTTCCTCGGCAGTGCTTCCTGCCTTATCCTCGGCGGCCTGAAATAGCGATTCTTGAGCCAACACTCCCCGGCGGTCTGCCAGCTGCCGCTTCCCGGGCGCTCAGGGACCCTGTGCCAGACTCGCGCCCTGGCCTAGGGGGCCCAGTCTGCTGGGAAGGACGGAGGCTGATGTTCTGTGGGGCTGCGAGGGACCTGGTGTCTCCTGAGAACCCTGAGGGCGCTCACACCCCTCGGCGGCCTGAGCTGCACGCACAGCCTGCTAGATAGAGCTGTGAGACCGGGTCTCCCTAAGTCTCAGTTGCCCACGCTGGCCTCCAACTGCCATCCTCCTGCCTCAGCCTCCTGAGTAGCTGGAATGACAGATGTGCACCACCGCGCCGGGCTCCAAATTAATTTTTTTATTTTTGTTTTTTGAGATGGGTGGCTGTGTAGCCCAGGTCTTGACCTTGAACGCACTGCAGTACTCCTGCTTCGGCCTCCGAGGGGTGGGATGACAGGTGTGTGCCACCACCCCTGGCTCCAAATTACTTTTGATTGGCTGTGGATCGAATTTTTGATTCAGAGCCATGGATAAGAAGGCGCCGCTGTGTATCGTTTGTTGTTTGTTTTTGATCTTTTTGAGACAGGTCTCGCTATGTAGTTCAGGCTGGCCTTGAGCTCGTTTTGTAGCCCAGGCTGGTCTCAAACTTTCAGCGATCCTCCAGCCTCAGCCTTCTGAGTGCTGGGATTACAGGCGTGCGCCACCACACCGGCTTTATCCTTTGAATAATATTTTAACAATATTACCATGAAAAGTCTCAGACCCGGGCGAGGCTGTGCAGAACCAGGTAACCACCACAGCTGTCACCAGCTTGCCCCCATGGGAACGGCACCGGCGCAGGTGATTGGTCCATGTTGCGCACCAGGCGAGCCCTGCCATGGCGATGGTGGCGGGAGACTGAGATGGGGAGACTGGGAAGGAGATGACCGTCCCCCGCCCTCCGCGCGCTCGCTCACTGGCGCAGGTCGTCCCTGTGACAACGCCAGGGCAGCCGCGCCCCAAACAGTGCTCACCTCGGCCGGGCCGCGGCGCGCTGTGGCTGAGCGCGCCGGTCAACTCTTTACTCGAAGGCTGAGGCAGGAGGATCTCAGGTTTGAGGCCAGCCAGAGCAGCTGAGTGACACCTTATCTCAGAGTACAAGGGGCTGGGGGTGCGGCTTGTGTTAAGCGCTTGCCTGGCGCAGAGGAGGAGGAAGGCGGTCCGCGAGCCCCGGCTCAGCCCTGACGACGCCCGCCCACCCCGTGCAGAAGCTGCCCCGAGTGCGCGAGCACCGCGGCCCCCTCGCCCAGCTGCGGGGCCGCCCTCCGCGGTGGCAGCCGGCGTTCTGCGTGCTGCGCGGGGACGGCCGGCTGGAGTGGTTCGGCAGCCAGGAGGTGAGGCCCCGCCCGGCCCCGCGTTTCTCATCTGCTGGGGCTGGCTGGGAAACTGAGGCCCGTCCGGGGTGGGGCGCTGGCCCCGATCAAGGACAGTCCACGCCCTCATTCCTGGCTAAGGAGGTTGGAGGTCACGCACCACCCGGGACTCAGCTTCCCTGACGGTGAAACGGGCGGATGGAGGTCTCAGGGTTGACTGGGGGGCGGGGTGGAGAGGCGAGGGGCGCGTGGGGCTCGGCTGTCACCCAGTACTCTGGGAGGCTGAAGCAGGAGAATCTCTGCTTCCAGCCCAGCCCGGGAACTAAATGAGCCTGTATGAAAATCTGCAGAGCCGCTGGGGAGCAGCTGGGCGGCCTAGGTTGTTCCCCTCCACGCAAAAGAAGAGGGAGGAGGGCGAGGCGCCGATGGGGAGCCGGCGCCCGTCCCGGCGGCTGCGTCACCCTCGCCCCTTGCCGCTCGCAGGACTTCGAGGCTGGGCGCCGTCCCCTGGGCGCGGTGGCCCTCACGGGCTACGCGCTCCTGACCTCGCAGCGCGACTACCAGCACGTCCTGGACGCGCTCGGCCCAGGCCCCGCGGGTGAGGCTCCCACGCCCTGCGGCTGGTCGGCCGGGTCCTCCCGCCCAGGTCCTCCTCCCAGCAGCGTCCAACCCTGCTGCGCCCGGCGGGCACCCGCTCGGCTCTAGACGTTCCTGAGTGTGTGTGTGGGGGGCAGCCTTGCGGTGGGCGGGCCTCCTCCTCTACCGAGGGTAACTCCATTGTGGAGCGGGGAAGAAGGGGCAGGTCCTGCCAGCCCAGCACGCGGGAGGCAGAGGCAGGAGGCTCGCCACGAGTTCAAGGCCAGCCTGGGCCGCATAGCAAGACCCTGTCTCAAAAAACAATAAAGAAACAAAACAAAACAAACCAATAAAGAACAAAAGCAGTCCGCCCCACACAGGTTTTATCCATATGGGTTGATTTTCGGAGCCGGGTAGCTGCCAGCGCCTCCGCGGGCCGGGTGCCGGCCCCGCCCCTTGCAGTCCGGGTACCGCCCCTTGTTCTCAGAGTACAAGGGCTTGGGGTTCGCGGTTTGGATCACGTTCTGAGCTGTAAACAGTTGACCTCTCCGGGCTGGGGGTGCCAGGGGCTCCCACCTTCCCGATTCTTGGGTTTTATCACGGTCTAAGTGCGTCACTCTGGAAATTAGAACACACCCAGGATTTAGGAGAATCCACAATACAAATTTGCTCATTTTGGGTTCCTACCAGCCCGAGGTCATGGGTATCGACCTGTCCTTTTGTTTTGTTTTGATTTTTGGTGTTTTGAGGTTTTGAGCCTGTAGCCCAGGCTGCCCTTGAACTCACAGCGACCCTCCTGCCTCAGCCTCCCGAGTGCAGGGCCCACAGGCGTGCCCCCCACGTCCGGCCCCTCTAGTGTCCCCGTGAAGGTCCTTTCACAGGCAGGGAAACAGGCCCGGGGTGCAGGTCCCGTCCACCGCTGGGGGCCTAAATCGTGTGAGCGTGGTCAGCGACTGAGCCCGCCCCGCCCCCGCAGGCCCTGAGCAGCTCCTGGAGGCGCCGGTGCGCGCCCCACTCCTCCTGCAGCACCCCTTCCGCCGGCACCTCTGCTTCTCCGCGCCGTCCACGGAGGCGCAGCGCGCCTGGAGCCTGGCCCTTCAGGGTGGCATCCGGCTTCGGGGCACAGGTGGGGTTGGGCCTCAGTTTTCCGGTCCCTAAGATGGGTTGTCGGGGGAAAACAGGCAGTTATGAGGATTGTCACACCAGGGTGACAGGGACAGCTGCGGAGCTCAGCCGGGGGCGGCGGGGGGCGTTGGAGGGAAGGGCTCCTGGAGGAAGGGATGTCAGAGCCGGGGTCAGCCAGGTGACGGGGGCGACAGCATTGGCACGTACAGTTGGGCAGGTTGTTGACTGCACAGATTCCGACTCGAGGTCCGTAGTGTGGCCTCGATGCTGGTCACGAGTCCTCGCGCGGGTGTCCCTTGGGGTGGAGCCCTGCGGGAGGCCGGGGGTGCCGAGCCGCCCCTCCCTCAGTCCTGCAGCGCAGCCGGGACCCGGCGGCCCGCGCCTTCCTGGACGCTGTGCGGCTCTACCGGCGGCAGCGGGGCCACTTTGGCGAGGACGACGCGACGCTGGGGTCGGACGCCGAGGTCAGCACGC